CCCATATAGGATGTAAAAGCAATCATTTCTCTTTCTCTCTGTGTGCATTCTTGCACTCATTGAGAAGTACTGAGTGAGCTGTGATTAGTCACAGCTTGTCACATGGTACAAGCCTGTTGTGAATAGGCTTGTACCATGTGACCTCTGTGATCATTCACAGATTTCACACGTAGTAAGCAATGATGTCACAAGTGACATCTTGCTTACTACTTTGCATGTGATCACTGATTGGCCAATCAGTGATCACATGATCGGGACCTCGTACAGAGGTCCCGTCCGATGATTGGTGTTTCACTGTGTCCGGAGGACACAGCGGGCACCTGATCGCGGTGCTGCTGCGCGCTCCCAGGGAGCGCGCACAAGCAGGGTGCGGGGGGGGCCGTTTATAAACGGGCCACTCGAACCTGCACTGCCACCGTCCCGCCCATTTATATACAACGGCCGGTCGGGAAGTGGTTAAGCTATCAGCAGGACCAATATCAATGTCTATGTTTAAGTCCTTTTGGGTGCAGACTACTATTTCGAAAATACATTTTGTTTATATCTCTCCTTCTTCTTCTTCCCACCCAGGTATCTCTATTTTCTGCAAATCAAGTCTCTCACAGAAGTCTCTCATATCTTCAGGATATCTCAATCTTGCTGAACGCCCCATTTTTTTCGTCCCATTAAACATGTCGGGAAACTCCAGCTATATTGGCATTCTGCTTCCTCATCTGCTCTAATAATGGTTTCAAAGTTCTCCTTCTTGTCAATATCTCCACTGTTAAATCAGCAAAAATCTGGATATATATATTCTCCATATTTTATAGCTGTTCTTCCTTTTATCTTTTTCCCAGATCTCTTCTTTATCCCAATAGTTATGAATTGCACAATTACATCTCTCGGTTTTTCTTTTACCCCTTTCTTGTTGGTGTTTTCCTATTCTATATACTCCGTCCAATTTAAGAGTCTCTGATATGGATCTGTCCATTATAATATTCAGCATTTTTCCTTATTATACCCATTAAATCTTCTCCTTGTGAGATCTCTGGAACTCCTTGTATCCTTATATTGCGTCTCCTATCCCTATTTTCTTTTTTTTTTTTTTAATTTAAATATTTGATTTTTTTAGATAAACTAATTGTACAAAACATACTCATTAAAACATTATCAAAACATTTATCATTTCATCTCCCCCCCCCCCCCATCCAACCCTTCACCCCCTCTGTTATGCATTTTCCTATTCATTTATGGAGATCCTACTCCCTATAAAAGAAGAGATCAAAATATATAACTATATTATTCTATCTTATTCCCCCATAGACTCTATGTTTTATCTTTAACTTTTTAAATTCCTCCCATCTTATATGATAGCTCTCCATTTTATCTTCATTCATATGATAAAGTTCCTCCAATTTACATATTTGATCTACCTTATAAACCCAAACCTTTATTTTTGGCACCTCCTGTCTCCTTCAGAACTTGGGTATCAATCCTTTTGCTGCATTCAAATAATACAATAAACCAGATTCTTTATGTTTTTGGCTGAAAGCTTGGTACTATGAAACAGGCATATCTCTGGGTCTATTAGAATATCCGCCTCTGTAGTTTTCTGAATCAAACTTACTATTTTCCCCCAATACTGTTGTATTTTAGGACACTCCCACCATATGTGATACATTGTGCCTCTACCTCCACATCCACGCCAACATAAATTATCTCCACTCAATCTACATGCTACATTGGTGTGATATACCATCTTGCCAAACATTTATAATTCATTTCTACCTCCTGCATATTTATATTTCCATGAATTATTCTATACATTTTCCTCTGTTTTTCCACATCTATTGTTACTCCTATATCCCTTTCCCATTTTTCTATATATATGGAGGTCTTGTATCAGTGTTTATTTCAGTGATAATCTTATATTTTTTGGAAGTTTCGTGTTTCCCATCTCCCTGTGTACTTAATAAATGTTCAAAAGGGTTCCAATCCTCTCTTGTTCTTAAAGGCTTTGGAAGCTTCCCTATAAAGTGTTTTAAATGAAAATAATGCCACTCATCCATTCTTGTGAAAACGTCTCTCTTTTTTTTTTCTATTTCCTCCCCCACCATTATATCCCTTAGTTGTGCATCTTTCCTTCTTAATCCACTTCCCTGTGATACCTTCTTTAGCCAGGGGAAAAAACTGTGGATCCTAAGGGCTGTCACGTACCTGATGGGAGACTGAAATGACGAGGTCGGCCTCACTTGTGTCACTAGCCCTGACCCCACTGGAGTTTGAACAGAGGGAGTCTAGGGACCAAGGGGACAAGAGCTTCTGATTCAGGCACAGTAGTAACAAGCAGAGTGGGTTTTGTAGATCGCCAGGCATGCACCAGAGCAAGGCAGGTAGCCAGGGAAAGAGACAGGAGCAATGTCATAGGAATAGCCAGGGTCATCAACGGGCGGACAGCATGGTACAGAATCAGAAGCAAAGCCAAGGTCAGGAGCAGAGCCGAAGTCAGGAACCGGTATCAATCAGGAGAGCAATCAGAGTCAGGTCAGGAACAAAGGAATCAGACAGGAACAAGCAGGACACAGGGGAGCTAAAGATCAGTCAGCACCTATCATGGGCAGAGGCACTCTTTAAATAGCCCGTCTGGCACCAATCTTGCCTTGCATGTGCATGTGCGCGTGCGCAAATCGCGCATTTATGCGCACATGCACACAACCGACCACTCTTCTCTGGCCGTTTCTATGTGCATGCGCATTTCCATTCACGATTCGTCTCACCAGAAATCCCTTACAAGGGCATTAGCAATGAATTAAATTCCCATCCTATCTGTTTGTGTAAAACATCCCAGTGTCTAAAAACATTTAATGTGAACAAACTTGTGCTGTCTGCTAACCCTCGGTATTGTGAAGGTAACCATACAATTCTACTTAATTTGTTGTTACTTAGTATATTTTATATTTTAACCCAGCTTTTCCCTTTTTACATTATATGTCTAGTCAAAGATTCTCGCCATTATTACCGAGTTATAATATCTTTTCAAATCTGGTACTCCCAGTCCTCCTTTCTCTTTATTTCTACATAAAATTTCCTGGCTTATTCTCGTTTTTTTTATTCCTCCAAATAAATCTTGTTAACATTTTTTTAATTGATCTAAAGTATACTTCTGGTAGTTTAATTGGTATCATTTGAAATTTATATAATTTATACTAATTTCTTTAGTTCATCCTTGATCTCATTTAACAATGGGATATAATTCAATTTATATAGGTTTGTCAGGAATGGACTGGCCAGCAATATTGGGACTCACCTGCCTTATGAGCTGCAGTACCAGGGCTGGCCAGCGGGTGCTCCCAGCAATCAGAGACTCAACCTTGCAGCCAGTCAAACACCTGGAACTAATTATACTGGTATATTTAAGGGACATTCAGACCTGCAGACTCTGCCTTGGTGTTGTGTTTCTCCTGGGCCCTGTTTCCTGTTCCTGTTCCTGTCTGATTCTCTGCTGACCCTACTCTGATCCCTGGCTTGTCTGACCATTCTCCTGCTCCTGATCCCTGGCTTGTCTGACCATTCTCCTCTGCCTGACCCGCTGTACCACGCTGCCCGCTACCTGCTGAACCTGGCTTGTGACCCCGACCATTCTCCGCTTGCTCCCCCTGTACCTACCTGCCCGATTGATATTGACCCGGCCTGCCTGACGACGCTTGCATTGTATGTACTGTTATCTGTGGGTGGTTTGGTTTGGTTGGTTTGATTGCACTGTGTTATGTTTTAGTATTGCACTGCGTTTATGTTTGTATTGTTAGTGTTAATAAATTACATTGTTTATAACATATCTGAAGTCTGCGTTTCCCTGCGTCAGTCACACACCTCTGGTCACACCCGGGAGCCCTGACATTACACCAAGGCCAATCCTGACCAGAAGTGGCTGCACAGGGAAGCCATCTTGGTTTGTTGATGGGAAGGATGGATCTGGATGAGGTTGCGTATTTATATCTGCTAGTGTTTGATGACAGGGAGTATGCTTATCAAACTCTGAAGGAGTATCCCCGGGATGAACTGCTAGAATGTATACGGCTCGCTCATGTTCTAGTAGATCAGGGCACAGAGTTCTCTGAGGTGCAGCCATTGATTGAGGTTTGTGCTGAGTTGGTTTCATCTGGTACCTCCGAATGCAGGATGAATTTTTGCCACCATTTAGTGCAGACCAGGTAGAGTCCCTGGTGTGGTTATTAGAGGATGATGTGGGTTACTTTCTGGAGCGTTATTCCACATGTTCACCACAGGTACTAAGAGATTGTATAAACGCAGTGCAGTCTTTGGTCAGACAGGCTTTGTGTAAGCTCAGCTTTGTTCAACCCATACTGCAGACATGGACAGATTTGTTGCACCCAGCCTCAGTCAGCTTACAAAAACCCAGTCCTGCTTCTAATCTATTTCCTCAAAACTCTATTCCTGCATTCCCAACAGCTCCTCCTGCCCTGCTATCTACCGCATGTCAGTACCCTGTTCCCACTCGCTGCACCTATCCTTCCTTTAACCCTGTAAAAAAGCCCTCTGTAGCAACTGCTCCCTCTCCTGTTCCATTCTTCACTTCTTCCTGTCTCCAGCTGCTCCATTCATTTGCAGACCTGCGTTTACTTGCAGTGCTCCAGTAGTTAAAACCAGAAAAAAAACGAAAATTCTTTCCAACCAATACCATCCTGCCAGTATCCAAACCGGTGAACCTGCCTTCCGTGGTTCAGCCTGAATCCTCTACTCGGCCTGAATCCTCTCTACTCGGCCTGAATCCTCTACTCGGCCTGATGCCTCTACTCGGCCTGATGCCTCTACTCGGCGGCTGATGCCTCTACTCGGCCTGAAGCCTCTACTCGGCCTGATGCCTCTACCCAGCATGATGAACTGATCCAGCCTGACGATCCTATTAGGCCAGTTGACTCGATGCCCGCTGTTGATCCAGATGATCCGGTACCTGATCCGGTGCCCGCTGTCGTGCCAATTGACTCAGAGCCCGCTGTCGTACCTGGTGATTCGGTGCCCACTGCCTTGCCAGATGACGTGGTGCCCGCTGGCGAGCCAAATGACCTGATGCCTGGTGACCCAGTGCCCGCTGTCATACCTGGTGACCCGATGCCCGCTGTCGAGCCAGACAATACGGTACCTGATGACCCGGTGCCCGCTGTCGTGCCAATTGAGTCAGAGCCCACTGTCGTGCCTGGTGATTCGGTGCCCGCAGTCTTGCCAGACGACTCGGTGCCCGCAGTCTTGCCAGACGACTCGGTGCCCGCAGTCTTGCCAGACGACTCGGTGCCCGCAGTCTTGCCAGACGACTCGGTGCCCGCAGTCTTGCCAGACGACTCGGTGCCCGCAGTCTTGCCAGACGACTCGGTGCCCGCTGTTCCGCCAGACGACTCGGTGCCCGCAGTCTTGCCAGACGACTCGGTGCCCGCAGTCTTGCCAGACGACTCGGTGCCCGCAGTCTTGCCAGACGACTCGGTGCCCGCCGCCCCGCCTGGGGGCCCGATGCCCGTCGCCCCGCCTGGGGGCCCGATGCCCGTCGCCCCGCCTGGGGGCCCGATGCCCGTCGCCCCACCTGGGGGCCCGATGCCCGTCGCCCCTCCTGGGGGCCCGGCGCCCACCGCTCCCGCTTGGGGGCCCGATGCCTGTCGCCCCGCCTGGGGGCCCGGTGCCTGCTGCTTCACCTGGTAATCTCCCGATGTGCCTCTGCCCGGAGTCCAGCCCGGAGCTCCAGCCCGACGTCTCTGCCCGGAGTCCAGCCCGACGTGCCTCTGCCCGGAGTCCAGCCCGACGTGCCTCTGCCCGGAGTCCAGCCCGACGTGCCTCTGCCCGGAGTCCAGCCCGATGTGCCTCTGCCCGGAGTCCAGCCCGATGTGCCTCTGCCCGGAGTCCAGCCCGATGTGCCTCTGCCCGGAGTCCAGCCCGATGTGCCTCTGCCCGGTGTGCCTCTGCCCGGTGTGCCTCTGCCCGGTGTGCCTCTGCCCGGTGTGCCTCTGCCCGGAGTGCCTCTGCCCGGTGTGCCTCTGCCCGGAGTCCAGCCCGATGTGCCTCTGCCCGGAGTCCAGCCCGATGTGCCTCTGCCCGGAGTCCAGCTGCCCGGAGTCCTGCCCGGTGTGCCAGTCTTTGATATCCCGCCAGTTACCAGACCCAGGCGGTGGAACATCTTGCCCAGCTAGGACTGTTTGGAGCGTCCTGAGGCCGCTCCTTGAGGGGGGGGTACTGTCAGGAATGGACTGGCCAGCAATATTGGGACTCACCTGCCTTATGAGCTGCAGTACCAGGGCTGGCCAGCGGGTGCTCCCAGCAATCAGAGACTCAACCTTGCAGCCAGTCAAACACCTGGAACTAATTATACTGGTGTATTTAAGGGACATTCAGACCTGCAGACTCTGCCTTGGTGTTGTGTTTCTCCTGGGCCCTGTTTCCTGTTCCTGTCTGATTCTCTGCTGACCCTGCTCTGATCCCTGGCTTGTCTGACCATTCTCCTGCTCCTGATCCCTGGCTTGTCTGACCATTCTCCTCTGCCTGACCCTCTGTACCACGCTGCCCGCTACCTGCTGAACCTGGCTTGTGACCCCGACCATTCTCCGCTTGCTCCCCCTGTACCTACCTGCCCGATTGATATTGACCCGGCCTGCCTGACGACGCTTGCATTGTATGTACTGTTATCTGTGGGTGGTTGGTTGGTTTGTTTGCACTGTGTTATGTTTTAGTATTGCACTGCGTTTATGTTTGTATTGTTAGTGTTAATAAATTACATTGTTTATAACATATCTGAAGTCTGCGTTTCCCTGCGTCAGTCATACACCTCTGGTCACACCCGGGAGCCCTGACAAGGTTCTTGGAGGATACAGTTAATTTTATTCCTAAATATTTTAATTCTTTTTCTCTCCAAACAAAGGGAAATTCTTCCTGTAGCCTATTTTTCTCTCTATTAATGGAAGGTTTATATTTAAAATCTCTGTTTTTGTTGGGTTAATTTTTAAATTTGATATTTCCCCATACTCTTTCAGTGATCTCATTAAATTTGGCAATGTTATCCTTGGGTTTCCCCACATAAAACAGCATATCATCTGCATAAGCTGCCACCTTATGCTCTGTGTCTCCTATCCATATTCCCTTTATATCTGTATTATTCCTTATTGTAGCCAATAGAGATTCCAATGGCAAAACATATAGAAGTGGAGACAGAGGGCATCCTTGTCTTGTTCCATTTTGCATCCGAAAATAGTCTGATAATGCCCCGTTAACCATGATTGCTGCAGAGGGTTGACTATATAGTTTCCTTATCCATTCTCTCATTCTATGTCCCTTCCCCAATACTTCCAATGTATCCATCATATATCCCCAATGTACTCTGTCGAATGCCTTTTCAGCATCAATCGAGAGTACCACCGCAGGGGTTTTCTCTTTCCTACTTTTTTGTATGAGAAACAAAGATCTCAGTCTTCTCTCCCTGGGACAAAGCCTATTTGATCTATGTGTATCCATTCCAGCATTAGATCTTTCAACCTGTTTGTCAGAACATTTGCATATAATTTAGTATCTGTGTTCAATAAGGAAATTGGTCTGTAACTTGAACAGTGCGTAGCATCCTTACCTTCCTTATGTATGAGAACTACATGTGCTTGCAGGGATTCCCTCCACATTTCCATCTCTCCCCCCAATGCATTCATATATATCCTCAATTTGGATACTAATAGTTCTTTATATTTTTTATAATACCTCACAGTATATCCATCTGGACCTGGACTTTTCCCAGCTGCAGTACTTTTTAGTGCTAGTTGTATTTCTTCCTGCGTTATTGCTAATTCAAAGGTTTTTAATTGTTCCTCGCTTATTTTCGGTAATCCCGCATTTTTTAAGTATGACTGTCTTTTTTCTATTTTTCCTACTCCATCTTTATTTGTAGAACTTTGGGGAATAATATTATATAAATTATTATAGTATTCTTTAAACACTTTAGCTATATCTTTGGTTGAATACACTAATTCTCCTTTGGGATCTCTTATTTTCTCTATATAGTTCCTGGATTTTTTTTTTCTCTGATCCCTCATTAAATACTTTCCTGGCCTGTCTCCCCATCTACAGCATATCTCTCACTTATAATTTTATTAAACACTCTTCTCTTATCATCTTCCAGCAAATTATTTAATTCTTCTTTTATTTATTACCCTCTGCATAATCTCTTTTTGTTACTTTATATTTATGTGTCTGCTCAAGCTCACAGAGTTCCCCAAGAAGCGCATTCATTTTTTCTCTTCTTTCCCTCTTTGCTCCAATCGCTATCAGGATTCCTCTAATATAGGCATTATGAGCCTCCCACACCGTTGCTACAGACACTTCCCTAGAATAATTTTCCTCAAAAAATTGCTCTATTTCTTTTTTGATTTTTTGATCCGTCTCTTGATCTTGGAGGAGTGTCTCATTCTACCTCCATACTTTCCCCCCTTTCAGCTCCTTTCCCCATAATAATTGCATTGTGACCGGAGCATGGTCCGATATTGACATCACCTCTGTTTTACTTTAACCAAAAAACTCAATAAGTCGATGTTCCAGCACTATATAATCCGATCTTGAATACATCTCATGTGCATGGGAGTAGAACGTATAATCCCTGTCCTTCACGTGCTTAATTCTCCATATATCCACAAGTTGGCATTGAAATATCATTTTTTTCAAGGATCTCAGAGATCTACTTTTCTCTCTCTGCACAGGAGACGTCATGTTTATCTGAGGGTCCATACAGAGATTGAAATCTCCTGCCACAATTAGACTCCCTTTTTTGAAATCCATTAATTTTTTCAGAGTATTTTTTAGGAATATATCCGGTTTCTTGTTCAGGAAATAAATATTTGCTAATGTACATTCTATTTCTTGTAGTTTTTCTTTCAGAAACAGAAATCTCCCTTCGGGATCTACCAGTCTGTCTTCTAATTTAAACCTTATATTTTTTCGCAAAACCTTTTGCTACTCCCTTAGCTCTTCTAATTGGGGAATCTGCAAAGAACCACAATGGATAATATCTAGAATTTAATTTCACATTTGTTTCTATTTGTTTCTCGCCCCAAATGTGTCTCCTGTAAGAAAACCACTGAAGATAATTTATGCTGAATCTCTTTAAATATCCTAATTCTCTTCCCAGGGCTATTTAATCTATTAACATTATAAGTCACAAAGTGTATCTCTTCCATTTTTCCCTTATTCTCCTATCCTCTCCTCCTCTTCTGTCCATATCTTCCCCTTCGTTCTCTAGGACTTCTCCAAACTAATATATCTCCTACTATATCGCAGAGTCTTACACTACCTACCCTGTCCCCATTCCCCCCCACCCATCCCTCCACTCCTCCTCCCCTCCCTTCCCCCCCACCCCCCTCCCTCCCCAGCCTCCTTTAGGCTTACATTTTGCCTATGAATCATTTGTGGTCCTAACCCCACCTTTGATTCCGCTTTTAAGGTGAAGCTCTGACCACGAACTTTCCACCAATGAGTGTATCTCATCCTCCGTGTCCTACCATGCTCTAGGAAACTCAAGGATCGCAAGAGAGAAGCAGAAAAGGAGGGAAAGATAAAAAAAAAACTCCCTCCCATCCTATTCCCCCTTACTATTCCTACTCTCTATTCCTCCTTATAGCTGCCTGCAACCCCTCTTTTTCCATAGCCTACATCTCTCCCTCTTCTTCCTCTCAACCGGGATGTTTATTCTCTGTATATCAAGTCTCTCACAGAAGTCTCTCAAATCTTGGGGGAATCTCAGTCTTGCTGAATGACCATTTTTCCATCCGATTAAACACGCTGGAAACCCCCAGCTTTATCGAACATTCTGCTTTCTCATCATGTGTTCTAATAATGATTTCAAGGTTCTCCTTCTTATTAATGTTTCCGCTGCTATATCAGCAAAGATCTGTATATTTATTTCCCCATATTTTATTATTGCTCTTCCTTTTATCTTCTTCCAAAGCTCTTCTTTATCCCGATAATTATGGAATTGCACTATTACATCTCTCGAATATTCCTCTCTACCTTCTTGTTGATGTTTTCCTATTCTATAGACTCCGTCCATTTTGAGAGGCTCTGTTATAGTTCTATCCATTACAGTATTCAGCATCTTCGTTATTGTTCCCATCAAATCCTCTCCTTGGGAGATCTCTGGAAGACCTCTTATCTTTTAGGTTTATCTCCTATCCCTATTCTCCTGGTCTTCCATTTTATATAGCAGATTTCTTTGTTCCTTTCTCATTTCCATCATCCGTTTTTATTTTTCTAATTTTTGTATAATTTGGGCATGTTTATCCAGTTTTTCTTCCATCTCCTCCATCCTTGATAATATTTGCCCCAGATCTTTATGTAATTTTGCCATTTCCTGTTTTAAGGGTCTTTCAAGCCCTTTGAACATTTCTGATATTTCAGTTTTAGTAGGCATTTGTGAAATCTCCTCTTGTTCTTCTACATTATCCATATCCACTTCTTCTATATGTTGACTACTGTTAGCTATTCCCAGGGATAGTCTGAAACATTCTCCGCTGTTTTCACTCTCACCTTTTACACTTTTTCCCTTTTGTCTCTCTGGAGTCTTTCTCCTGTGAGGGTATATATTTTTTAATTGACCCTGTTTGGGAATCCTTAGGCCCTCCTCCCTTTAATACGTTTCCTGCACTCAGGACAGGAATGCAGCTTCTCCCCCATGTGAGGTCTCTGATGTACAGTTGTATTCAAAATAATAGCAGTCAGACATCACTAACATGATCAATCACTGTTTTTTGGTGGAAATGATATTTCTACATGGCAAATAATTTACTATCAGGTGTAGTAGAGTAATAGAAATCCAACAGACCCAACAGTCATGACATGCATGCTGCTGATTCCGTGGAATTGAATCACTAATTGAAAGGGGCATGTTCAAAATAATAGCAGTGTGGAGTTCTATTAGTGAGGTCATTCATTCTTTGAAAAACAGGTGGCAATTACTGCCTTTATTTAAGGAAGGAAGGCAGCCAATGTTGTACATGCTGATTACAGTGCATTTCTCTTTACAATTCTGAGGAAAATGGGTCGTTCCAGACATTGTTCAGAAGAACAGCGTACCTTGATTAAAAAGTTGATTGGAGAGGGGAAAACATATAAAGAAGTGCAGAAAATGATAGGCTGCTCAGCTAAAATGATCGCAAATGCTTTAAAATGGCAACCAAAACCTGAAAGACGTGGAAGAAAGTGAAAAACTACCATTCAAATGGATAGAAGAATAGCCAAAATGGCAAGGACTCAGCCAACAATCAGCTCCAGGAAGATCAAAGAAGGTCTAAAGTTACCTGTGAGTACTGTTACAATTAGAAGACACCTATGTGAAGCCACGCTATCTGCAAGAAGCCCCTGCAAAGTCCCACTGTTGAAAAAAAAAGACATGTGCTGAAGATGTTACAAATTGCCAAAGAGCACATTGACTGGCCTAAAGAGAAATGGCGCAACATTTTGTGGAATGATGAAAGTAAGATTGTTCTTTTTGGGTCTAGTGGCCGGAGACAGTTTGTCAGACGACCCCCAAACACTGAATTCAAGCCACAGTACAGTGTGAAGACAGTGAAGCATGGTTGCGCAAGCATCATGATATGGGGATGTTTCTCATACTACGGTGTTGGGCCTATTTATCGCATACCAGGGATCATGGATCAGTTTCAATACATCAGAATACTTGAAGAGGTCATGCTGCCTTATGCTGAAGAGGAAATGCCCTTGAAATGGGTGTTCCAACAAGACAACGACCCCAAACAGACCAGTAAATGTGCAACATCTTGGTTCCAGACCAACAAAATTGACGTTATGGAGTGGCCAGCCCAATCCCCGGATCTTAATCCAATAGAAAACTTGTGGGGTGACATCAAAAATGCAGTTTCTGAGGCAAAACCAAGAAATAGAGAAGAACTGTGGAATGTAGTCCAATCATCCTGGGCTGGAATACATGTTCACAGGTGCCAGAAGTTGGTTGACTCCATGCAACACAGATGTACAGCAGTTCTCAGAAACAGTGCTTATACAACTAAATATTAATTAAGTGATTCAAAGAGAAGCAAAATCTTCAAACGTTTTTCAGTTTATATAGTGAATGTTTGAGTTTGTAAAGAAGAATACAAACACTGCTATTTTTTTGAACAGTCTACACTTTTCTTCAATGTTTTTTAGAGAGGAACAACACAAATTTGATATATTTTTCTTCATGTTTTGATTTGGAATAGAATGTGTAGTGTTCCCAATGCATTTGTGTGTATGGAAATAAAAGCTATTAAAAGGATTTTGAGCTTTATTAATTTTTTTCAACACACTGCTATTATTTTGAACACAACTGTATGTAAAGATTGTACTTCACTGAGAAGTATTTCCTGCACTTAGGACAGGCATATGGCTTCTACCCTAGGTAAAAATCTCTGATGTGCGTAAAGACTTGGCTTATCTGAAAAACATTTCCCGCACTCAGGACAGGAAATTGGCTTCTCCCCCATGTGAGATCTCTGATGTATGTGCAAACTGGACTTCTGTGAAAAACATTTCCTGCACTTCGAACAGGGATATGGCTGTTCCCCCCTGTGACATCTCTGATGTGTGTATAGATAGAACTTACATGAAAAACATTTCCCGCATTCAGAACAGGAATACTTCTCCCCCATATGAAATCTTTGATGACTGTAATGACTGGACTTATCTGAGAAACATTTCCCGCACTGAGATCCACTCTTCCTTCACTCCGAGTGAGGCAGCTTCAGTTCTCCTCTGGGGAATGTTGCCTTCGATATTCCCACCACACAATAGACACACTGCAGGGGGGGCTCTCCCAGCCCGTTTCCGTGGGTCCCTGGCTGCCACAGTCCCGTGTGCGAGAGGAGAGAGCCGGCGTCTCCCTCACTTCAAGAAACCCCGACCAGCTCCTCTATCTCCCAGAGCTCCCTTGCGGTGGATCACCTGATCGTCCAGCGTCCACTGAGCTCTGGGGAGCACACAGCACCGGACTGAGAGCACAGGCAGTCCCCTCGTGATGTCCGCCACCCCTATGGGTCCATGGCCCACACGGCTCCACTCACCGGCACTCCACCAAGCCCGTGGGACCCGCACCCCACCAGGCAAGCCTCCCCTCTCTCTGGTAAGTCTTTCCCGGCAGGACACAGGTGGTGTTTGGGGGCCGGGAGCCCTCACATCGAGCTCCCACTCCAAGCCATGATCAGGCTCCTCCCCGTAATCTGATGTTAAACTCTCCTAACCCTATTTTCTTGATCTTCTATTTTATATAGCAGATTTCTTTGTTCTTTTCTCATTTCTATCATCCGTTTTTCTAATTTCTGGGTAATTTGGGCATGTTTATCTACTTTTCCTTCAGTCTCCTCCACTCTTGATAATATTTGCCCCAAATCTTTCTGTATTATTGCCATTACTTGTTTTATTAATTTTTCAAGATCTTTAAACATTTCTGCTATTTCTTTTTTAGTGGGCATTTGTAAGTGCCTCTCTTGTTCTTATACCCCCACTTCTTCTTCCGTTTGTTGACTGCTAATAGCTATTCCCAGGGATAGTCTGGAACATTGTTGATTACTTCTGGAGTCAGTTTCTCCTGTGAGGGTATATATTTTTTAATCGTACCTGTTAGGGAAGCCTTGGGCCCACCTCCTTTAGACACATTATTTTTCATATCGTCAATAACTATTTAAAATTGTCCAAGCTCTGGGGGATTTAATTTTATATTATTATTACATTTAACACATTTAAGTTTGCCAACAATTTCAGTCTATAATTTTTCCTTTTTCTATCTCCCCTCTCCTAAGCTCTTCCACCAGGTTCTGTTTCTTCTGGGTCTTAAACTGTTTTAATTTATCCTCCTTTTCCTTTTTCTTCTTAGACCCCCTGGGTGAACCCCCCTCTGATTTTAATACACAGTTCAATTTATTTTATATATATAAATTCACTGTAAGTGTTATGGACCACCTGGTGTACACTAGCAGTCCACAGGACAGGATTCCCCAGGGCGTGGAGTCTAAGCCCCAGTCCGCTTGTTCACCAGAGCCCCTGATGGTGGGGATGGGCTTGGAGCGGACAGTGACCAGATCGCGGCCCCTGAGTACACCCACCTGAGGTAGAGGAATTACCAGACGTAATGACAGGTAGAGAGCCTGACGTGAAGAGGCAGACAGGTCTGGAGAGTAGCAGCTAATCCGTGCGGGTCGGATGGATGGCTGAGAAATAGCGTGGTCAAACGGGCCAGGTCGGTAACAGAGGGGTCAGCGTAGTACAAGGCAGCAGGCAGAAGAATAGTCAGGTCACTTGCCGGGGTCGGTACCAGTATTTCAGATAAGGTAGGGATATCCAAAAAGAGAGGTCAAACTTAGCCAGGGGTCAGAGCAGGAGAAGTCAGCAGAGGTCAGGTCCAGGCAGGTCAGCAACAAATCTCAAACAACTGGAACACAGGAACACAGGAACCAGATCAGGCCATACGGCAACTTGTGGTTTAAGTAGCCCACCCTGCTCCTGACAGGCGCAGCCTAGGTCCTAGTGCCTGCCCAGCACCGTCATAGGCGACGGGTCCGCCTGGGTCCTAGTGCCCTGATGCCTGCATGTCTTGACAGACACCTATGCATGTGCAGACCCATGCATCGCGATGGTCCCTGACAGTAAGTTTATCGCTCTCACTCACCCTCTTGTCCTCTTCTCCATTTTCTCACATGTGAGGCTGCTTTAATTATGTTCTTCTGGGGGTTGTTGTTTTCTATCAACCCCTCCACTTGTAACACCGTTACACTCCCCACTGACTCCACTGGTTCCCTGGCAGGTAGCTGTGTCGTAGACACGAGGGGGAGATCTGACATCTCCTTCTCCTGAGCTCACCAGCCGGCTTCTCTTCCTCCCAGTGCTCGTGGGCGTCTCAGCATCCTCCAGGCTCCAAGAAACACACCCCGCGCCAGACCGAGTTTACAGCCATCCCGCTGCAGTGTCCTTCACACAGACCACTCCACCTCTGCCACTGGCCCATCCACGCACCTCCTCTCCGCACTCAACTGCTCACACGAGGCCCCCCGCTCCTCCAGCGAGACCCCCTCTCTCACAGGTAGGTCTCACTGTGTACTCGCGTGCATTCCTCCCTCAGCAGGACATTCCGAGGGACTAAGCAGCTGGATAGCTGAGAGCTCTCACATCGAGCTCTCCCTCCACGCCATGGTCAGGCTCCTCCCTCCTCTGTCTATAGATTTATGTTGATCCAATGTTTCTGATTGTTTGAGACATACATTCTGTGTCCTAGTGCATATGCAGTGAATATGCTACATTCAAGGCAAGCTTTTGGTGATAACTTCTTCAAACACAACTTATACAGAAGAGTGTTGAGATATTTGTGAAGTGAATATGCACGTTATAGTTATTTATTAGCTTATGGTTAGAGATAAGAGAATCTTCCTGGGTTTGGTTTTCCAACTGTTGTGCAAATCATTGCAAGTTTGTGAACTTTGCTGTGAACCATATTGAAGTCCTTGGAAGCAGGTGACTCTTGTTATTCTGGGCCATTTGTTGGACTAATATGCAAGCTATTGTCAATCAAAAATGCATAGAAAGCTATGCAGTACAATGGGGACAATGCCAGAAAATACAACATATCCCTCTACATTGAATTGTCAGCTCTCCCTAACAGATTCAACACACACTGACAATATTGCTTTTGTGTGCTCACCATTTTTGGGCTGTCCATCCCTCCAAATTGCACTGTATTATAGGTTGTTCTTTATATCTGACTGTGAACATGCAAAACATTTTGGCCAAAAGTTTCCAATTCATGAGCTTTATGAATTCTGGGGATAACGTGTAAACAGTGAACCCAATCCCCTACCCCAAGTTGAAGGTGATGGGATTCTGGTGAGTTAAGCTCATATTTGAAAATAGTTATGAAAGAAGGTTTACATTTGGCCGAAATTATGGCCTTATAATATGCATTACTTTTACTCACAACTATTATTGTAAGATGTGCATGAGTATTGTGGCCGGCAGACTTCTGCCCATATGCATTGTGAAATTTGTGCTTCCCCTGCTATTGACATCCTGTATAAGTCTAAATTACAATGAAATCAAGCACACTGTACAAGGAGGAACTTCACTATAGTACCATGTCATTGCAGCTTGACCCAAAACCTGCACAATCTGGTAAATTGGTAAGTAACTTGAGGTTATCCACAGCTTTCTGAACTGAAAGGGGACTCTACAAGAAACTACAACAAGAGCTATTTCTAAATGTAGCATCTTGGCAGTGCCTGGAGAGGTGAAAATGAGAATTTGAAATACTCTCATTTAAAGTGAAGTTCCAGTTGATTAAAAAAAAAAAAAAAAAAAAAGCAGCAGCTACAAAAACTGTAGCTGCTGACTTTTAAAATACAGACATTTACCTGTCCCCACAATCCAGCAGTGTCCTCATCATGGCTGGTTTCACACCAGTCGTCTTCTCTCCCCAGTGCCAGCATCTTCAGTGGCCATGACAGCTTGTGTGTTCACAGACGGGTGCTCACTGGGCATAGGTGAGTAGCGCTGTGCTTTGTGAATGGTCCTGTAGTCTTCTGGGACCTGTCACATATCCCAGAAGACTACGGGAAGGGACGGGGGAGGACAACTTCCGCTTCCGATCGCCTTAGGTGATAGCAGTAAAGTGGGAGTGGGTACCTATCAAATTCGGGTCCCCGCTCCCCAAAGGTACCAATCCTTAACGGGGAGCGGGGGACAATGCATTAAAGCGGAACGTCCCCTTTTCGGTGGAGCTCAGGTTTAACCTGGATTGCTCCAATTTACACACAGAGGGAAGTCCATTTAAGAGTAAAGAAATGTCTACCCAGATTCATGATGACTTGGCATTTCATTTTGAAATGATTGCTCATATACAGTTCCCCTTTTAAGTTATATTATAGTTTTATAAGTTACTGATAACAAGATTTATTTGCAGTATAGTTTTTGGAATCCCCATGATATAAAGTTTGAGTTTTACATCTTTCAAAATGAATCAGACTATGTGGTTGATTTACCAAAGAAAATAGACTCTGCACTTTCAAAGTGCAGTTGCACTCTGCAAGAACATGAGAAATGAGCTGAAGCTCTGCTGACTTCCATCATCCAATCGCATGCAAACAAAAATGCAATTTTTTATTTTCCCTGCATGTAATTGGGTATTATTTGCAAAGTGAAGTTGTACCTCATTTATTAAGCGCTAGAGCAACTGCACTTGCAAAGTGCAAGGTCTATTTGCCTTTCATAAATCAACCGCTATGATATTTTATACACTATATAGCCAAAAGTATTGGGACAAACCCCTCCAGATCATTGGATTCAGGTGTTCCAATCACCTCCTTGCTGCAGCTTTATAAAAATCAAGCACATAGGCATACAAATGTAAATGGTATAAAGTGAGCGCTCCAAGTAAGCAGCTATGGCACTAAAGGTAATCACAGTATACCCACAAAGTAACAGATAAAAACAGAGTGCAGCGCTAAAAAATAATGAATACAAACGAAAAAAGTCCGTAATAATTAAATAGATGTATATATTCAACGAATCCCAAGGAATAGCTGGTAAAGCCCGGAGACAATGGAAAGAGTGCGCACTCAACGGACGCGCATGGGAAATGCGCATATAATAAATATCCCCTGGAATCTTA